TTACTAATATATTCACACTTCTCTTGATGTCTTCGTCACTATCTTTGACTTTTCGGAGACAGTTTATTGTCTGGACGTCTACTCTACTGAAAAAATGTGACTATTAATACATATTCTCAATTGTCTTGCCTTGTGTAAACGCAGGGTTATACAACTGTCAGCAGTGACGGACTTACGTGCGTCAAAAGTTGAGTGTTGGCCAACGTTCGTTGGGTCCGTCGACGCAAGGGTTACCAATCTGACGCTCTCTATGCAAACACACACAGCCTACTCAACTGTCAGTTTCATCCTTGAGCGGAACGTACGCAAAGTACCCATTCTGACGGGGCCATTAGGCCGCGCTAAGAGATCATAACACTTACCATGATTCAATAATACAAGGTTCGATAAACTGACAGTTGTCTCTCTCGCACCGCTCCCTTAGCAGTGGCACCGTGTTGGTTCTTTGCAAATTTACATGGAAACAGTGTAGCTTTGGTGTGAAATAGAAGTATAAGCTTTTGTGCAATATGTTTATTTGTATATACATATGAAGCATATTTAACTGATGAAAACATAAACTGTTTTTAAATTGGATTTTTACATCAATCTCATAGTAGTCTTATTTTAATTTTGAGTCATTTTGCAGTTTTTATACAGCTAAATAGCACATAAATTACGTAATTCACGTAGATATATCAATATTACGTTCAACATTTCGTTTAAAATGCCAGAATTCCTGCAAATACTTTAGAATTTACTAAATTTCACTACTACTTGTCTACTTTGCGTACTTTTCTACTACCATTTTCGCACCAAGAGATTTGATTCTTCCCCTTTCTCCGTCCTTCGTAAATGCAAACTTTTGTAAGGGAGTGTCAAACCGCAGCTGTCAATAATTATCTAACCTTGTATTATTGAATCATGAACACTTACAAAGTATAATTCTCGTTTCTGTGAAAACGAAATCATAGTTTCTTTTGCGCAGAAATTCTTTCTGCGTAGGCGGCCTTCGCCGCGATTGGGGATCATAACTCTTACAAAGTTCAATTCTCCTTTCTGTGTTGCCAAGAAAAGGGGCGGAAGCATAAGAGTGATATTACAGTTTTTTTGGGCAGAACTTCTTTCTGCGTAGGTGGCCTTCGGCCACGCTTAGGGATCGTAAATCTTATTAAGTGGAATTCTTCTTTCTGTCTTGCCAAAAAAAGGGGCAGAAGTGTAAGGCTGATATCATAGTTTTTTTTGCACAGACTTTCTTTCCACACTCTCTCCTTTCTGTGTTGCCAAAAAA